TAACTAAATTTGATATATAATTGAAATTAACATCTATAAGTTTTCTCTTTGTTTAATTTAAAATATTTTTATTAAAAATTTATCAAATATATGACTACAATTGAAACATCTGGGCTATGCCCATGTATGTTATTCGCAATTTGGACTGAGAAACATATTATTATAGTAATGTTTCTGGTTATATGGATCCAAAAACATTTATATGTTCACCAAATTTTTTTTTTTAAAAAGAAGCAATCAATTTGGGATGCTTAAAATTAGGAAGGAACAATTGTTCGAATGTGGTGTGGTTATATGTTCAGGTTTGTGCTGAGACAAAGAATGTCCAGGTTGAGGTTCTCTTGAAGAAAGTGAAAGAAAAAACTTGGTTGAGCTAATCGATGTCTGAAAGAAAAAAGTTAGCTTTAATGTGTTCCGGTAATGGTGGTGTTACGGTTGCTTATGGCCGACCGGCTTCTAGTGCTAAGATTAACGCTTGTATATGTCTTCTTTAACTTCAGCATGGCTAAAAATACATGAAAAATGATAAGTTCACTTGTGCTTAGGTGCTAATTTACTTAAATTATGCATAGATTTTGACCCATACCATCAATTTTTTTTCTCTAATTCAATCGTCTTTGTGATGTTACCAATCAGTTTGACAATGTCACCATTATTTTATCGTTGTCTGCTAAACATTCTCATTAATCAACAGTTTGTTTTACTTGAATATTTGTTTTCACTTTTGTGTTCCATTATATAACAATAATATAGTTTTGGTGGTCTTGATTAGTTCTTTGTCATAGCTTTTGTTTCACCAATGGTTATATTGGATGATTTGGATTAATGTCTAGAAGTTCATCGCCCATCCCAGTTCAATGTCTGAAAGATGAAGTGACATTTAAACTTTAATTTCAAAGATTTAATATCCTAGTGGAAAATATAAGTTCTTTAGGAATTTGATTAGGTTTCAACCTGGGAGAGCTCGTGCCTTTATTTGTTAATTCTTGAGGAGATAACTCCATTTTATGGAAAAGATCATCATAAAGGATCAAATATGCTTCATCACAATAATGTGATAGCAGTACACGTTGACGACATCTTATATAGCATGAACATTCGTAGTTGTAGGCAGTTCTGGTTGTAGGTTCGATATTAACTGATCTCAAAGCTTTGCGAAACTGAACTTATTAATTTGTTTGTCTCCCGTTTTGGCTTGACAGCAAACATCTTTAATTCTTCTTGGCTCAGCCTTAGCTTTAATGTTTTCCCCCCATTTTCACGCTAATCATGCATTAATTCTATTATAATACAATTAGGCATGTCAAACGGGCTGGCCCGGCCCGGTCCGAAACCCATAAAGCCTGCATATATTTAAACCTTGTACGGCCCGGCCCGATAATATATCGGGCCTATATTTTGAAATCTGGCCCGGTCCGGCTCTAGCAGGGTTATCGAGCTTTTTTGGGCTTTTTGGGCTTTTTAGAAAAATAAAATAAATTTTAAAAATAATCATAAATATAATTTAATCAAATCTGAAAGCAAAACTTCAACTTATAAATTCTAATATCAAATATAATTAAATAAATAAGTAATATAAATAGTAGAAACAGTATAATCAAAATAAGAATCTTCAGGATGAAGGTAGAAGTGCTTCTTGAAACTAGTTTAATTTGAGCATTGATGTTATATGAAGGCACACAACTAAAATTTAAGGTTTTATATTAATAAAAAGTATTATAAAAAAACTAATAACTCTAAATTTTTTAAATTGTAAAGATAATTTATGAATAAATTTTTTTAAATAAAATTATAATATGAAGTACAGGGCTTTTCGGGTAAGCCCGAGACCGATCGGGCTAAGCCCATTTAGCCCAAAAAACCCAATTTTTTTGGGCGTTTATACCAAAGCCAAACCCGATTTTTTTCAGGGCCGGGTCAGGCCGGACTTGGGCTTTGACCCAAATTGACATCCCTAAGTACAATGAATCCTTGAAGCTTAGAAGTATGAAACAAATGATTTTCATGAAACCTTATATAATTCGTAAATTAAATTAGTGATTTGTTTGTAAAATCCAGAAAAAACATTCCAACTTATTCTGGTTCTGTCCCTCATCAGTCGCATACGCCTCATCTAAAGTCATACAACGAAATATCACAAATTGACAAATTAAACAAACCAGAATACTAAATATATGTAACTTGGTTTTCATTACAATTATAATATAAAAGATGATCAACTCTCTCCAACTGAGTACCACATCAGCATTAGAGAGAGTGACATGTGTCCTTTAAAATTTTTAAAATTAATAATTTATTATTATGAAGCAATCAAAGTTAGACTAATTAATTATTGATCTTTTAATTGCATATTAATTAAAATCATATCTACTTTACAGAAGCATAATACAATTCATATTTTTTGGTGGACAAAATATTTATCACATATATAGTTAACATCCATATAATATGTACATATGTATTGTATATTTATTTAAATATACAATTTTCAGAGAAAATTCAGACATAATAAATCATCATGAAAATTATAAGTTTCTCATCCAATAACAAAATATGTAATAATAGATGAATACCTTTTTTTATCATACATTTTAACATCATATATTTACATAGTTGCAACACATTTGGAAAATATCGTCAAGAGGTGTTGCAACATCAAGTTAAAATAATATGACGACTAGAAATCAAAGGCATAAACTATTACTATTGTTCATAAAAATGATTTTAAGTATACAATAAAATAAATTGTAACTAAAGTTTTTAAAAAATTATATTTCGCAACAAAAATCCGCGCATCGCGCGGGTATTCATCTAGTAGTCATTTAAATTAGGTGGAAGGGCATGCACTACATGAATATATCCTCTCGCAAGTCCTATAGCACATGGACCTAGAGTGTTTTAATCGGTTCTTCTCTCAACAATACAACACGTCTGTACTTCTGATTCTTTGATTCAATACAAATTCATCCATACCTAGAAATTGAAAGCATATTTCTATGTTTAGCTACGGTTTCATCTTCGGCAGTGGAGGCTGGCTTCTAGTCACCATATTCATCTTCCACTGACTGTTTTGACCGTGAATATGATGCCGCCGGATTCTGTACGATATCAATGATCGAGATTCTCTATGTGCATGAGTAGATTCTCTATGTGCATGAGTTTAGTGCGATCTCTAATTCAAGTACACCTCTTCGTCTCCTTTGGTCCTAACTTTGTCTTGAATTGTTGATTTGCCATAGTGTTGCTTCCTTCAGTAGGAGATAAATAGGGGTTTGAGTTTAATGGTTTGTATTTGATGATAAATTAAAGAAATGTTTGACTATTTGATAGAAGCCAAACAGTCTTTAAGGATATGTGATCGTGTGGCCCAAAATCATAGTAGATATGATTGAGATTGACCCAGATGAATAAGATCTCTTCTTCTGTGAGAGGTGATGATAGATGGATAACGTGGTAGCAGTAGAAAACTTTTTATTATAAACTCATGTGGCATCATTTTAGAGCAAGTTTTTTTAACTGATGTGGATAGTTTATGGAGCCCCAACCAATTACTTTTATACTTACTAGGTGATGTTCGTACTACGCGCAGTTGCTTTTCTAAATTTAATATAACCTTTTTATGGTTAACTAAAATACATTTTCTCTCTTATTAAAATATACTTATATATTTGTGATATGAGTTACCATTGATTAAGTTTGAGTTAAGAGCCAAACTCAAAAAATTTACCAATCAAGTATTATTAGGTTTTTGAGTTATAATGAGTTATGGTTGATGTAAAATTTTGAGTTATCTTTTTGTTAAATTGCTAACTCAAGAGTTAATGCTAAATCAAAGAAAAAGTGATGATTTAGAAGTTGAGTTATCAATTTTTGCTAGATTTATTTTTATCAAATTAATTTAAATATATATGTGTTTTCATTTTATTTTCAATAAAACTTATTTGGTCAACTAAAATAATTTTAATTTATTTTCTTTATAACTCAATATTTTTTTTAGTCAAAAACTTTTTAAATTTCAATAAATTTGTACTTGGTCTATAAATTTTTAACTTGTTTTTATTTGAATATATTATGTTTAAGATATTACTAATATATTTAATCTATATTTACCATTATTATTCATTCTAAATTAGTTTACTTTTACTAATATATACTACAACTTAAAAATAAGTAATCCCACATAATATATATACATGTTTTTTAAATTAATATATTATAAGTTAGTATTAAAATATTTAATCTATTTTTTATTAAAATTTATAATAAATAAGAATTAACTTTTAAATCTATTTTCATTTTTTTTTTATTTTACTCACATAATATATTATTATTATTCAAATCCTAACTATTATTTGACAAGTATCTTTAATGAAATTTGCTGATATGTACAATTTAATGCTCACCTGGAATAGTGACCTGGAAATGTGACCTGACATTTTAGATCTAAGATTGAAAAACTGTTCATCGATTATTAGAAAAAAACAAAACCATCGACCTCTTCCGACTCCAAAAGGATAATCATCCAATTATTCCGATCTGACGTACATCTTCCGATTTAGTCTCGAGAAACGATAAATTCCTACGGAGCTTGCCGATCTACATCGGAGGTGCTTCTCTCATGGCCGTTCTATCGCGATGTACCTCTTCCGATTTTTGTTATTTACTTTAATTTATGTTCTCTCGCGCTGATTTCTCTCTGTCCTTTGCAGGTCTTGATGATTCTAGCTACTTCAGATTTCTCTCTCACCCTCTAACTCGAATGCTTCGACTCAGTGAATCCAATCTCTTCCTCTTGACTTCACTTTTGCCGGAGTTCCTATGTCCTCTCTTTCACCTTTGATGAATCAAGGTCCGATCAGTTTTCCTCTTTCTGTTAGCTTTAATCGGAAAGTTTTTGATTTTTTTCTTTTTTCTTTTTACGGATTGGGTTTAATTACAAATTCCTATTTTTGTCTTTTGGGTGGGGGTTCTGATCAGATGCAATGTGGTAAATAAATCAGAGTTCAGATGAAACAATGGAAACTAGTTCTTACCCAGAACGACCAGGAGAGTCGAATTGTTCTTATTACATAAGAACTGGACTTTGTAGATTTCGCTCAACTTGTCGGTTCAATCATCCTCGTGATCGGGAACTGGTAAGATACATTTTCTTTATGCCCTTTTGTGTGATTTTGGAGATCTGTTTGGTTGGATCGAAATTTCAAAGCTTTTGAGAGTGTTTTTGATATGTCTTTGGTTAATGTGATGGTTCTCCCTCACTGTCCAAATTCTAGGTGATAGCCACTGCAAGGATGAGAGGAGAATACCCTGAAAGGATTGGTCAACCTGAATGCGAGGTCATTCAATTATTGAATGCTCTTTTCTTTGTTGATGATTTAGAACATACAAAATAAAAAAGACAGATGTTGTTGTTGTTTGTAAAGCAAAGACAACTTGGAACTGTAGGTTTTCGTTTAGCTTTTGTCAAAAGTGCTGTGTGTTTTACTAGCAAGTAGCGAATGTTACTAACATGGTGGACATTGTTGTAATGTTACCCCCGTGCTACTAACGTTTAAGCGGAAGCCTGTGTGCCTGTTGTTTTACGCATGAAATAAGAATTCTAAGATACAGAATACGTAGCTCATGTTTATCGAAATTTATGTGTTAGCTCAAAGGATAGCTTGATGAATTACCGCTCTCTCTCTTTATTTTTCTTTTGTTTCGTCTGATTGCTATAGAGTCAGAACTCGATTTGTCTCAGAAATCAACAGCCTCATTTGTCTTCCGTTTCATATGTGTTATTTTTTTTGTCAATCCTATTTCTCTTTTTATTTTTTTCCAGTTCAGATTCCTCTTAACTTGTAGTGATACACATTTTTGTATGCTTGGGGTTGCTTAGTACTATTTGAAGACAGGAGCCTGCAAGTTTGGAGTAACATCTAAGTTTCACCATCCAAGGAACAAAGCTGGGATAGCTGGAAGAGTCCCACTCAATATGTTAGGCTATCCTCTACGCTCTGTATGTTGACTTTGGACAATTCCTCTGATTTCACCTCATCACACTTTGCCGAGCTATCCTCTACGCTCGGTATGTAACTTTCTATTCTAATACATCTACCTGTATGCCGCTCTGGATGTTGGACAAGTGTAGTTATTTTTGTTCCACTAAAATCTGTCTAGGTTGATCCATTTAGTGATATAGATTTCGATACAGTCAATATTTTAGCTATATATGTTTTGAAAATTTGATTGATAGGTGATCATTTAGTGATATAGATTTTGATACAAATTTTTAAAACATTTCGATACAGTCAATAATTCATTTAGTGATATAGATTTGGTGATAAATATAGAAAACTAATAAACCGGTCGATCAATTTATGATTTACAATCAATTGCATTTAATAAAATATATCTCATGCAAACTAATTGTCTATCGATTTATTAGCAAAATCAATTACCGTAAATAACAATACACTGGCCGATCAATAAGGAAAATATGAATTTGTATAATGTAATTATTTTACGAGATAGCATTTATAATTTTTTGGCAAAAAAAATATCTCATGAAACTAATTGTCTATCAATTTATTAGCAAAATCAATGACCATAAATAAGAATACACCGGCCAATCAATTATTACATAAAGTATATGTTTCTTTACTTTTCCGAAATGTAAGATATCTCAGCCGATCAATTGTTCTTTATATTTAATAACATTATAAGTCATTATATGTTGCTACTTAAAGAATCAACACACCGACCGATCAAATACATTTTCAAACACGTACCATTCTTATACAATGTCTATATTTAAAAAGTAGATCATCCCATTTCATCATGCTAAACAATCTTGATCCAGCATCCGAAGTGCAGAAGATCAAAGCACATATTTAAGTTTTATAGAATTTTTTTATAACTGGTGTTGGTAAATCAATTGAAATGGTCATTGTCGATGAAGAGGTTTGTTTTTATTTATATTTTTCTGTTATTACATTTCATTTTCTGTTAATAAGTTTTACTTTTACTTTTCAAAAGTACTACTTTAACTGTCTTCTGGTTGCAATCTTTTCAGGGAACAATGATTCATGCAACTATGGAACTCTTGGAAACTCTTAAGTCTATGTTTTTGATATTTTGGTAACTCTATTTATATGTTTTGATAATTTCAGTTTATTTACTTATTATATTTACCACTTTTATTCTAAAGAACCATTTTATATTTTTTATTAATATTTTTATGAAGAATTTTTTATTATGATCTTTAACATTTTTCATTTCAGATATTATTAAATGTTCATACAATGTCCATAGTTAATGCATAATTAATTATATAAATAAAAAAATTTCCAATATAAAATATTAATTATATATCTAACATAAAAAATATATTATAGCCCGCACACGATGCCGGTCGATCACTTAGTTATTATTAATATTTATATTAAATAATACATACTGCAATTTATACGTTAGAAAAATTACCAATCATCTATTTGGACAAAAATGTTAAGTCAGATTAATATAACATACTTACCACATAAATTTATTGTTTTTAACTCATAACTTTACTGCAAATTACCTCGAATTATTAACTCAACTTAACAAATACATGTCAACAATTGGAGCTATAACATAGTATTTTGGACACAATATTTTTCTTTAAAATAAAAGGTAATTGTTAAAGTGTCTACAAAAATTTTGTCACATAATGATCTAATCCAGTTGGCTTTTTATCGTAAGAGCTTACCTCATTCAACTTTTTGATCGATCATTTGTTCAATTCTGGAAAATTTTTTAAATTCACAAAAAAAAAAAAAAATCTGGAAACTTTTCCCTCTTGGATCATATCAACTCCCATCACGCTTGAACATCACAGTACGGGATCATAGTTCCGACCAAGCCCCATGGTCTCTCCACAGAAGAAATCTTTTCCGTTGACTTCCTTGTCAAGAAACATAATTGGTCTTCGAGCCTCCTCGATTGCAACCTCTATTAACTATTTATAATTAACTGTTTGAACTAAAAAAATCTAGTAATTTCAGTTTGATACTCTAATAATTTTGATGGTTGTCAATTTAGCAAATGAAACAGAGAAGTCATCAATTATGCTTTAGTACCGCTGTTCTGGTGGATGCCTTACTCTTCCTGGGCTTTTTTTCTTCGGTAGTGCCTCGTTTCTTACTTTTGCAGCCCAGCCATCACCTTCTTTTGCTTGCATTTTTGTTGCATTTCGGGGTATATTAACCTGACAGTGAAATTGTAAGAATCAAAACAGGTTACATGTATCTTTCTGTGTACATACCGGTGCTGTTCGTTTCATAAGCTATAGGCAGTATCTGGATGCATTTTTGAGATGTTCGTTTATGTCCAATTAAGATATGTATCTAGCTAAAAAATCTAGATCCATAATGAAACTCATCCCAAATAGTTTAGAAACACTAAAGTTCATCCAAAATGACAAAAGTCTAAAATAGCCTTATATACAATTATAATTAAGATGATCTATAATTTATTTAATTTTACACTAATACCAAATATATATATATATAATAAATTAAGAATTTACACATAAATAGTAAAAGTACCAACAAAACAATATATTTACGTCAAAATCACAAACTGAAATAACGCAAAATTTCGTTTTTCCACTAAAACTGCAAAATTCTGTTTTTCCGCTAAAACCATAAAATTTTGTTTTCCCGCCAAAACCATAAAAATTCTATTTTCCTGTCAAAACCGTAAAATCTCATTTTTCGTCAAAACCACAAAATTTTGATTTCTCACCAAAACCGTAAATTCTATTTTCCTGTCAAACCCACAAAATTATATCTGGATGGTGTATTCAAACATGGTATTTGAATATTGTATCCGGACGCAGTGTCAAGATAAGGAAACGAATAGGGCCACAATCTCCTACAGTTGTGGGAAACAAAGATATATAGGAGACACATGTTGGAGATTCATTAAGAAATCAACATAGCAAGGAAAAATGTGGGTATACATGTTTAAAATGCTAGAATTCAGATACCTTAGGCGCCTTTCTTTCACATCATGTTAGTTATATCAAAATATGTTGTATGAAGGAAAATAGGCATCTAAATTTACATTAGAAGTTCACTCCGATAAAGGGTATAAGAAAAGAAGAGTACAACCTACACTTGTTCTTTTTGCATTTCCTCATAGGTGGTCAATGTCAGCTAAGTTATTAGAGATTTAAAGCACCATTCACCACCTGTAGACATATTGCAAAGAGAGAGATAATTAATACAACCTTTGTTTCTTTTTTTTCTGATAAAAGTCGAAATGGGGTTGGGGTAGAAGAAACACTCTGGTTTTGTAAAGGAAAGACCAAACTAAATCAAGAATCTTGTTGGTAAAACAAATTTCGAACAACATGAGTAATAGAAAACATTTAATGAGAAATGACGGGAGAGAAAATGCAGATTAAGAAAAGCAGTAAAAAAACTTACTCGGGGGAGAAAAATTCTTGTATTTAACCTGTGAGCATTTTCTACCAAACTTGTTGGGATGATTCATGAAAGCTGGTAGACAAACACATAAAAGAATTGAGCTTATAAACTTTTAAAAGTGATTTATTGTGGGCATTTATATAATTTTCTTTCATTAAAAGTCAAAACAGTTTTCTGGTTTCTTTTTCTTTTCCTTTAAGAATATTGGTTTCCATCAGAAAAGCTTCTGGTTTTGTATTTCTTGTACATCTTTTAGCAAAGTATACGACACAAGAATTTAGAAATACTTTGCTAAAAGAAGACAATCAAATTCACGTAGGGAAGTCAGAATCTATACTAATTTCAATCGTACTTACAGACTTCAACATCTCCTATTACGTTTATAACATATCGTATAAACCCTTTGCTTGATTTAGATGAATATAAGAAATCATGCATGTGATACATACCGCAGCTATTTAACTAAAAAAACTATTCACAAAGTAAACAAATTATGAATGTGATAACTCAATGGGAACCCGTCATATCACTGAGTTTAACAGTTTCAGACGTTTTTATTCATATCACTGGGAATCCTTTCGTTTTAGAGTGAAAATGATTCATGAAAGAATGGATATCGCAAGCACAATGTAAATTTAAATGCTTAAAATGTATATAGAAACATACCTGGGGTAGAGACTAATGGAGGGGATGTTCAAGTAAAACAATGAAGTTTTTCCATATGAGAACTTTTTTAGATATGGATCTTAACCAGCATGAGCGGCAATAGGAACCAATGAATCATTGATCGGACTACAAAGCTGACATTAAAAGAGACAACCTCATATGTATAAATAACTACATGAAATTAATGAAAAACAGTTTGGTGCTTACTTCTTCCCAGTTTACGCTATCGCTACCTTTGATCTCATCACCATTGGTGATTTTCACTTGTCAATCATGCCTTGCTCGGGCGACATCATCTTCAATGCCAGCTTTGAGGCAAAATATGCGATATAATTTATGTAGGAATGAAGAGGATTAGTAAATTAGTTATGGTATAGGCAAAAAATCGAGAATAAAGAGACACTAAACACTCGCTTTCAGGACATATCTTGTTTTCTCATTCCTGTTTGGCGCTTACCGAAAGATGTCAATGCGTTCAGCCGTGGTTCTGATTTGGTCAACCTCGAGGCATTGTTCATCAGCCTGTGATGAGAAAAAAATAAATATGAACTCAATACATTGGTTAGAGGCAGATCTCAGAAACCTATAAACCGAAGAGAACACTACAAGATATCATATGTGTTGTATCATTTATTTATTTTTGTTAATATTATTTTTTGATTGATACAAATTCAGTTGCATCATTTAATTAAATGACTTTGGAAATGGTGATGCTAATCATTTATATCAATATTATTAATGATGCAACTATTTTCATCACTTATATTAATTGATATTAATATATATCCTTTGTAATAAATAATATTAATATTTACATCATTTAAAATAAACAATATTAATATTTACATCACTTAAAATAAATGATATTAATATTTACTAT